TACTGCAGGCATATTTCACAAGAGACACCATCAAAAGCAATGCTTGGGGGAACCTGTGGCCCTCCAACTCTCATTGGTCAGTCAGCATAGGCTATGGCCAGGGATTATGGGAGTTGTAGTCACACATCATCTCAAGGGCCACAGATTCCCCAGCCCTGATCTAGAAAAAGAAGTATGCTTTTCTTCTTCTTCAAAACTATTGTTTCATAGTCATTCACAAAATTATGCTGGTTTTATTAGCTTGATGGTGGAGATTTAAACTAATGTTGATGGCTAAAAAATATTGTAATGATTACAAACATCTGTTTAACTATATGGCAGCAGCATACAAAATTTACTTAATAAAGTACTGCTGTAAACACTTTCTTCTTACTCATTTTTTTTGGGGGGGGGGAGAGGATGCATTGCAATAGCCCTTCTTTTCCAAGTAAGGGCACACAGACAGAGGGAACATCCCACGGCCAGTTCTAAATGGTATTTTAAAAACAGGGAGGGGCGGGAAAATAAGGGCAAGATGACATGCAGCAAAGGTAAATCTGTAAATTCTTATAATGGTTTATTGGAAAATGCCCTGATTCAATACACTTCATGTTTGTACTTTTACAAAAACCTCTGATTTGAAGGAGTTTCGTTAGTGTAAATGTAGCTCCTTTAAATCAGAAATTGAGGGTGAGAAGCAGTCAAGAGGTAGGTAGCAGAAATAGCAAGAGACAATATTCTTGCTAGGGAACTTAAAGTGAGTGAACTGAGTGCAAGATGAAGCAATTCAAACTGAAACTCCCTGACCTGGATTTTTTTTTAGACCCAAGTGTCGTATTTTATTTTGGATTTTAAAGCAGATACACTTTAAACTCAAAGTGGAGCTTTACTGAGATCCAGTTATTCTTATGAGGTTTTTGCTGCAGGGTTGACTTTAATAAACTGTATGGCTACAAAACATTATCCATTTTCGAATGTACATGCCATGAGAAAACTGTTTTAACTACACAAGTTGCAAAAGAACCCAACAATCAGATCTTTAAAATACAGTTTGGCAAAGCAAATCAAGGCAGAGGGAAACAACCCATGTAACAAGGTAACTTTGATATACTTGATTCAATTGTTGGTGCAGCACCCCAATTGGCACAAATGCCCTGCCAGCATCAAGAGTGCAACTAATGCATTTGTCTGCTTTTAAAATCTTTATGCAGATGTATGCTAAGGCCATAATATCAAGACAGTCCCACCCCCGGAAAAAACAAAGCCAACCCTCAAATGCTTTAAAATGGAAACAAGGTGACACGTTCTTAAAACACTCTGAAATACCTGTATATAGACCGATTGGTATAAGAAGCAGCGTAACAGGATCGTAATAAGGTCTTATATTAAAAGCAGGAAATTATTCATGCAGCTCAATCCTTTGCATATTCCTATGGGCGTAATTCATACAATTCAGTGCAGCTTACTCCCAAAGTCAAATGTGCACAGAATTGTAGCCATAGCCTTATTTATTTGGGTCTCCATTAATTTTTTACAGAAAACCAATGCAGGGCGGAGGACGAGATAACGTAGGCTTTTAATGTTTACATAGGTAATAACCAGTGTTTTCCTTTTTTCTTTTAAACAGTGCATTTAAAGAAACAACATTTTTAAAAAAGGCATTCACCCAAACTGAAAACGTGCTACTGTGACACAATATGGGCTCAATTCAGTCCACTATGGGAACAGTGTTCGCATGTGGAGAGATCACCACCTCAGAACGTAACAGTGCTGTTCCCTCTGAACATGTGGAGGCAACACTTAGGGCCATTACAAGGGATGGACACCTCTGTGCTATACCTCTGGCCAGCCTTCCCACCTCTGCTTGCCCAAAGAACGCATTCTCGGATCTTCCATTTCTTAGCCAGGTGGGAGATGTGGGATCTGCACCCATAATAAACTAGGTGAAGCCCAACGTAAACTGTTCCTTTTGGGTGCTTCTCTTTGCTATGAGTACGAATTAAGAAAACCACTGATAAAATCCACCATAGTTATTTCTTGTGTAGGCATTATCTGAGTGTGAACCAGTTGCAGGCACCAGCAAGTAAAACCTAAGGAAGTTGGCACCATTCAGATAGCATTTTTACTAGCATAACAAAAAAGACTCTCTATCAAATGGACTAGTAGACAAAAGTAATTTTGCAGTCTGAGAAGATAATGCAGGTTTAGGATTCTTCCCATTGTGTGGATCTTTGCTTTTTACTAGATTGTCAAAGAAGACTTAGGGGGAGGGGGGAAGTTCCCAAAGGCTTTAAAACTAATTTATTTTCTTTCTGAAATGCTAAAAGCATAATCTCATTTACTAGGGAAAATACATTTGAGTGCCATTGCAGCGATCCACCATAAAATGCAAATATCTTCAAGCAGTTAAATGGTCTGGTCAATAATGTTACTAGAGAATAAAGAGCATTCTAGTCTAGATCTACATATTTCAGTGCATTCATGGCAATTAATACTTTAATGAGGACATAAAAGGAACTTGTAAAACTTTTAAGAAATGTTTTTTCCTAATGCCTTCTCTTTCATGCAGATGAATATGCAGTACATGTAACCAAGACATAAAAAGTACTGTAAAATGCTCCATTGGGCTATAGCATAAAATATGGCAGATCATGCTGCCAGTTCGGTGCCCAATACTGAAGCAGTCACTCAGGCCGAACTCAATGAAACTGCAATGATATCCACACTTGCTTGGTGTGTCCTGTTTACAATAAGTAACTAGAGCAGAAATCACTACCAAAGGATTTGGGGGTGGCTGCCTCTGGGATGAATTTCAAAAAGAGAGAGAACTAGGCAGCTTCATAGAGAAGTCTATGAATGGCTACCAGCCAGGGTAGCAAAATGGAAGATTCATGTTCAGAGGCAGTGTACCTCTGAAAATCACATGTTGTAGGGAAGCCCATCACCATCATGTCCTATCTGGCTTGCAAGAACAACTAAACATTGTGGGAAATCGAACACAGGACTCGACGCACTCAGCAAGGAAATTCTTACGTTCTTAATGCCCTTGGACTTAACTTCTGGGTGAATTGCACAGGGCTGCACTCAGCATAATTCCCCTTGCAGGGAAGCAGTTTCTGCAGTTTCCTCCTTTCGTGCTCCTTCAAAGTCCATTCTGGAAGGGCAGAGGACTCTCCAGAACAGAATGAGAAGACGCATGGCGGGGTATAAGGGAAAGGGGCAATTGGGAAATTTGCCTTCTCCACTCCTTCCTCCAGGCAGGGAGCTTCTAATGGATCTGGGTGCCTTCCATGAATAGAATCCCTTCCATTCATGGAGGGGACTCTCTGGATTTACTCCATAGCACTGAGGGCTAAGGCTGAGTTGACCGAAGACTACAAATATGTCCCTCACCTTATGTTCTCTTGCCCTGTTCCTTGTTTTAGCTATTCAGACATCTATTATCTGCCTGTTTCCAAATAGTGAAGTATTAACTCCACTTGCAGCCTTAGAAGAATCTTCCTCAGCAACTCTACTTTGGGCTGTACGTTATACTTTAAAATCATTCATATTATGAATATTGGAGGAACTTGGTTTTCAGACCCTCACACCAAGAGTTACTCAAGGGGGATAAATAACAGAAGCATTTTAGTCAATTTGCCCCAAGCAGACTGCAAGCTAAACATTTTGGGTCAAATTGCTTTTGAAACCTATTTCAACAGTGACTCTTGTAAAGAAAATAGAAGGGAAAAACTAAGACTTACATTTTCAGCAGTTAATTTTGACGTTAAAAAGTAGGAATGCCATCTTCTAAAGAGTGATCCTACTCTGTTTTCCTTCTGAAAACATAACTTGTAAATCTTTGAGTTGCAATTACAGGTTAGGTTTATTTGAATATTTCTAAAAATATAATTAATCTCTGGTTGTAATACATAATCCACATAGACTTTCTCTCTCAAGTTTATCAGGTTGTTGCTTTCACTCGTGAGAAACAGAAACAATTTGTGGGAAATGTTTCCATGTTGCTTGGTGAAGTGCAGGTTTTTATAACACGGAAAGCACAGTTTATAGTATTTGTTATGTGGCTGGATATGCCCCATGTAAGGGCGAAGGGGCACAATGGAGTGGTAATTGGAGCATTTGTGTGCTTTTTGGCACAGCACTGAAGGGGAAAGCTCAGAGCCAAGAGGAACTGTAGAAGAAAATGACGCTTTCAATTTGTCCTCCATACTTAAAATGTACAAATATTACACAATGCAACCATGCACTAGTTTCTAGCCAGGTTGGTACTAATATAATTCCACTAATATTTTACTCTGGCTTGAGATTCTTCCAGTGGTTTAAAAGCTGATGAGCATAGTTGAAATTTAGAAGTTGGACAGTTTTACGGTTCTGATCAGCAGGATAATTGTGACCAGAAGGTGACAGAATGACAATAAATTGGCGTGATTCAGGTTATTAGAGCTGAGAGATGTACAAGGCTCTTGCCCTTTTCTCTGTCCTTTGCAGCAATTAGACATGGATGTGTCCAACTAATCACAGTTTCCTGTTTTGTCTGACCCAGGAAAACCTGGTTAGGAGGTTTGGAACAAGCCAGGAAACACAGGGTTTGGAAGTGTCTTAAGATCCTGGCTTGTTCATAACCTGGTAACCAGTTTCTGCAGTTCAGATGAAATGGGAAACTGAGTAGTTGGAGGGTTTCAGGTTTAAATTGCTATAAAGGGATGAGTGAAGGATACATATGCACAGAGAAAATTATCATGCACATCTCAGCATTTTGGTATGTGGCCATTTTTAAGTGTTGTTTTTCTAGGTTTGAGAACAGTGAAAGTACTAACGCAAGGAGTCCTGTTTTTAAAATCCCAGAATGAAAAATGATAAATCTTTATAACAAAGTTAATTTACTTATACTGGGTAAAAGGCATGCATGCCATTGTAAGACATAGGTCTGACAGCAAGAAAAGTGCCATTTTAAAAAGCAAATAAATCAGAAAATGAAAACAAGTGTTCATTTGACACAAGGCAGCAAAATATCTGAAGTATTGAAATCACCAGTTATATAATTTTATAGTGAAAAGTATAGGCACAATTCCTAGGTTTGTAGCAAGACTGTTGAAAAAGGTCATTTTGATGAGGAAAACTTTCAAGTTTGCCTACAGTCCAGACCCATAAAAATCCATGTTTCCCTCCAGCCAGTTAGAAATAATCACACTATCAATAAACACATATTTCCCAAAGGGCATTTCCAGACAATACTCTTTTGTACAGCAACTGCACAGCTACTCATTTCCTTCAGGGTATCCTGATATTTTTTCTTAACAAAACCACTTCAGCTGTTGGCATATCTCATTTTCCCTGCACTCAAAGCACAGTGTTTTGTTGCAGGCGAAAACAAGATTCTTCCCCCAGCTAGCCCATCAATTACAATACCAAGTGCGGTATAGAATTTGGCAGAACAAGTTTCAGTGGCACAAACTGGACAGAGCCTTTAACAGGAGTAGTGATAAATAACAACTTCTCCATCTTCCAGATTTCCATCATTTCATGGATTTTTTAGAAAGTTTAAATTTTCTAAGTTATGGTACTCTCTTTTCTGGAGGCCCTGAGCTTCCTCTTTAACAGCTCAACCAAAACAACATGCATACTCAGAAGTAAGTCCCACTTTGTTGGGTAGGGCTTTCGTCCTAGTGTGTTCAGGACTACAGCCTAAAGTGCCCTTTAAAAAGTATGTTTGCGCAAAGCTTCCCTCAAGGAAGAGCAATGAATTAAAACCAAGGGAGGTTTAACTTCAAGCTTCCAGGACTAAGCCAGAAAAATTCACGGTACATTCTAAGTCTAGGTGATTCCTTTCAGAACTAACGTTTCTTATACAGTACGTGCCTTATCTGTGTTCAACAGTGTTCAACAGTGAACTCTGTCATGGTAGCTAGTAGTTCCAATAATCATATGGCTCTTTGAGACTGATTTTATAAATTATATATATATAATTTAGTAACACACACACACACACACACACACTATTCACATTTCAGTCTAGGAATCAGGCATGTACATTATTTTATTTTTAGTTACTCCTGAAGAACTATCCCTAGTGAGTAGGAAGCTCTTGGAAATTATTTCAGCTTAGTCCTAGAAACTCAACTTTGCACAGACATAGAAACCACCTGATTCTTCCCTAGAGCCTCTTGATATAGGTATTTTGTGCCATTTCCACTACATCAGTGGTGACTAACCAGGGCCGCTCCAGATGTTGCTGAATTGCAATGCAAATCCCATCAGCCCCAGCCAGCATGGTCAATGGCCAAGGATGATGGGAGTTGTAGTTCAACATCATGGAGGGCTATGGTTAGCCACCCTATCCTACAGCAAATTCTCATTACTTCTTGTACCTTTAGCGCCCCTCTTTTCTTTTCAAGTTTGTGTGTGCTTCCCGTCTCTAGCACTGCAGCACACCTCTCTCTTAAAAAGGGAAGTAAACAGCTACCCCTCAGCAGCTTTCCTTGTATGGAGCTGAGATTAGAAGAACCACAAGTATTACACTCAGAATACCGCCCCCCTTTTAGAATTGTCTGGAAAAGACCTACAATTTTGGTTTTTAATGTATTCCACACTGCTGCATTCCAATGGTTACTTTTACATTGTTAAAAGATTTGGAGAAAACAAACATTTCCATTGCCCTATTATAAATATCCAAAGTTGTAGAGCACATGCTATTGTTAGGCAGAGTGAGGCAGCTGCATCAGGCATCAGATACTGTGGGATGAAGGTGCCATTGAACATTCTTCCTCAGCTCCCTGGCCATTCCCCTCTGCTGGGGATCAGAATTACGTGTGCCAAATTACCAGTCATGCACCCCCTAAACTAGCAGTAGAAGATACTGTCACGTTGCCAGTGCCCAGTCAGCTGGGAGGAACCATCTTGTTCTTTGCCTCAGCAAAATGTCTTTGGCCAACCTTCTGTGTGGATGCTATGATTTTCGCTCATTCATAGAGTGATTCATCTATAGAGCTTCTACATGTATGGGTGTCCCCACTCATTTCAATGAAGAACCAGCCCTGTACACACAAAGGAGGTGTGTGTGTCTGTGCAGAGCTTCCTTTTACACTTAAATGCATGAGGAGAACCAAACACAAGCAGGAACTCTGCATATGTACTGCAGCACAAATGGAATCTGGATCAAGATGGAAGACTGTAAGGCATGACTTTATATAGGGCTTTTGATGAAGTATTTTTTGCTGTATGCGAGAAGGTGATGCATTCAGACCAGGAAAAAATAGCTTCAAACATCATACTTTATAACACAATATAGAAAATGGTTTGTCATTCTCCAGAAAGCGCCTGAGAACAACAAGTCCTCAAATTTTAGGGGCATCCTCACTAAAGCACTGCTCCTGAAGTGCTTCAGTTGGAATTACCTTTGTTCATTTTTTGTGCAAAACCGTCATGCTACTATGGTCTGTTGACAAATCACTGAGCAATATGCTCTTAAATCTTTGGTAGGAAAAATGATGATACCATAGTTCTTCTGGATATATTAATACGCACGTTTAAGCCCTAGTATGAATGCATCTTCTTTTTCCTCCCTGTGAGTGCAAGACCAATTTGTTGTTGACCCAAGTAGAACATTAAGATGGTTATGAGCTTCGTGCCTGATACAGATTATTAGTAGTGCTTAAGCATTGTTAGCCAACGAAATAAAAAATAACCAAATTCCCAAAAGTGTCCACATCTTCCAACGAGTGAACAAGCCCTGCTCACACCTTCACAAGACCTGGGTGCAGGGAGAGGGGATCAGGGCTCTACACATGTAGAACTGTACATGCAATTAGGGACTTGGATCGCGCCAGAAGAGCCTTCAGCAAAACAGCCACACCTTATGCTTAGCATGTGATAGCCGAGGCAGGGCCAGCTAGCAAAATCCCACGCATCCACTTCACACACTTCGAAGGTGTGACTGGGATTAAAGGAGCATGTTTCCAGGACAGTGAATGTGTGCCCACATCCTCCACCACCACCACATTAAAAATGGTTAGGCTTCTTCACTCCTAGTTTATTTAAAGTTCCTGAAATAGTTCTATATTGTCATTAGCAAAATGCAAAAAAACTATCAACATCATACAGTTTGCTGCAATGCATATGCTGGGAGGAGAGAGAGAGAAAACTCATCCCATACAGATCACTTTAAACTGGAAAGTAGTCTAACTGCTGCATTCGCTCATCGTTTTTGGCACTATTGACTGCTTACATTTGGTTAATCTGAAATAAATACATTAAAATTGTTTTATTTTTATCCGTATTTATCTATCTATATAAATTCACCTTCTGATAAACAAGTTCTATAGCTTTTATTTATTTTGCTTATAATGGTTTCATTATTCTTCATTATTTATTTTATTTTATTTTATTTTATTTTTAAACTGACCGCAACATGCTCAGGTTGACTTTCCAGTCAATTTCGCCCAAATTCCAACAGGAATTGGTTTATAAATTGGTTCCAACTGGAACTGGTCATTTGGAATTTCCAGTGCAGGAAATCATTTTATATGCGCTTCAACAGGTAATCCTAAATTACAAATTGATGTGTCTAATAGTGTCTAATGAAGAGAAAAGGTACTGATTCTAAAATTAAATCTCTACACTGGAAATAAAACACATCTAAAGTGACTGGGCAAACTAACTTCTTCCTAAACATATGAAGGGCATGATCTGTATGTTTCACCCCTTTTTATATAGCGTTAAATGGCGGCAGCCTGTAAGCATAGTAAAAACCATGCCGCAACTGCCGAATCAAGTTGATTCGTTTGGCCTAGCTATGTTATGGCAAGTTGGCAACGGACGAGTACCATTTCCCCCCGGGTTCTTGTATTCAAAGCCTATGTCGGGAATCATGGCTGTATCCTCCAGGAGACCCTCTGTTTCTGTGAGGCTTGTAGGAGTCCTGGTATGAGTCGGAGTACTCTTCTTCCACAAGCGGGTAATGATCTCGGCTGTGTTGGGAACTGGAAGACAAGCGGTTCCTGCTCTTCCGAGCTCTTTCGTTGTGGTAGTTTTCATCAGAGGTCATTAGGCTCCGTCGTTCAATTGGAGAGTTCTCAGTAGAATGATTGCTATGCCTCATTCGTTGGCTCTATAAATAGTAAAGAATTCAAGGGTTTTTTAAAAAAACAACAACAAAGGGGTGTGGGGGGAGTTGGGAGAAACAATTTCATTTTGCTCCTTCTGAATTAGTTGCATTCTTGTTCTGAGAGGGCCTTCAGAATCCATATGCTCCCATCATTCATTTAAGAGACATTTGGCTGCTATTTTGTATACTTGGGAATACAGTCTGGTTTCAAAGCTGATGTGAGAAAACAGTGGAGCGTGATGTCTTCTAAAACATTTGGCAGGGAGAAGGGATTCTCAACAGGAGGTTCAGGATTCAGGTTCAGGATACATTGCCTGATGAGGAATTTTAAAACTTGTATTTTTGGTCTGTGATCTTTCGGAAATTCAAAATAAGACCTCCTCCAAAATGCAGCTCTTAAAAAGCATATTGAGATATACTTCCATTGCGGGCAATTCTAAAGTCGCCTACTTTTCTCCCATTGATTTACAACGTTTTATTTAAAACAAAAAAAATTCCTTCCAGTAGCACCTTAAAGACCAACTAAGTTAGTTCTTGGTATGAGCTTTCGTGTGCATGCACACTTCTTCAGATAGGTATCTGAAGAAGTGTGCATGCACACGAAAGCTCATACCAAGAACTAACTTAGTTGGTCTTTAAGGTGCTACTGGAAGGAATTTTTTTTGTTTTGACTATAGCAGACCAACACGGCTACCTATCTGTAATGTTTTATTTGTAACCCTTTCTTGTTCAGCATATACTAATAGAGCTTACCCTTCCTTCAATTGCAATTCTCATCCTATTCTTCATAGGCTTTATCAATATTTTTATTATTATTTCTGAACTACTTTACCCAATGAAATTTAAGACCATTGGATATATGGAATGTTTCACTGGTGCTGCTTTCCCTCTGTTTAACTCTCCACACTGGATTGAAGTGGGTAAAATAGCTAAGCTGTTATTTTTGTAGTCAATTCAATGGTCAGTAGCAGCTTGCAGGCATACTGTAGGCATTTTTTTTCCAAGGTAGTCAGAGTACTTTCTTTGCAGAGATCATTAGCTTCCTTGGAAAACTATATAATGAGTTCCCAAGGTCCTATGGCAGGAAGCCACACTAGTCATACTGGCTTGAAACTTGTTTAAATACATAGAACACCCACACACTCTTATTGTGGTCTGCCTAGAACTGAACCTCAGCCTCATGCAATCATACCCACTGTAGCAACTTCCTCTGCTAATTACTCAGAAGACCTTGAAATGCGGCTCCTGAAGTGTCCCAGCCCATTGTTAGCATGGATGAAGTTGACTCAGCATTTAAACAAAGTGGGCCCTTATCTAGACTCCCTTACACCTAGCAGAATCCTATTTAGACTGCGTCACCAGTCACTGCAACATATCTCAGATCGAGATATACTAGCATATATATATATATATATATATATATGCATGCCTAAATGGTATGTGCCTAAATAATTTGCTTTGTCCAAATCCTTTTGGATTTGCATAGCGTCAAAGTTCAAGAAAAGGGGCTTACCAACACAAAGACACTGGAAAATGAAACGTTTTCACATAAAAAAACAAGCATGTGTGCACGAAACTCAAACTGTTGCTTACACAGTCAACCAGTCACTAAGCAGAAACAACACCATGTGACAAAGCTGGCCTTACAAAATCAAACATAAATTTGAAATTTAGATACTTCAGCATACATGCATTGGGGGGGGGTACGACGACAGCACTTCAATAGTGATACGAGTGTATTTTATGTTGTGAACCGCCTTTGATCTTCAGATGAAGGGCGACATACAAATTTAAAAAATAGTAATAATAATATTAAGGAAAAAAGTGATTGTTGATCTAATTTTCAGGAATGTTGCTAACTTGCTAAGCTCTTCAGCTGACATACAGTGGAAAGTGTACACATATCAAAAGCCACACAAATGTGCCAAGCTCTTTAGTGAAATTGATCTCTGTGCACATTTTGGTCTTGCATTTACAAACATACAGAACTCGTACTGAAAAGACATATTTTTCTCCAAATTTAGTAAAGCACGTACTTCTCATTAAGGACTATTTACATGCCACGTTTGAAGTTTCAAAGGCCAGCCGTTTTTGAGCTATCCCTGTGGAAAAAAATGGTCAGAATCTTTTTATAATGGGAATAATATTTTATCCATCATTAAAAAAAAAATCAAACAGATGAATGAATTTTGCTAAGGTGTTGCCTCTGGGGAGAAACGAGGCAAATGGGAGAGAATTTCCGTCTTATAACTTTTGTGAACTGGTCAACATATGAAAAATAAATGAAAACTATTCAGCAAGCTTTACTATAGCAGCAGTTAGTGGCTTATATTTATATAACTCACTTATCTTCTAAGAACGTTCTGTGCAGCTTTTTCATGCTAAAAATGCAAAGGTAATTATGTTCATTGCTCTTGATGTCTGCACAGTAGCATTAGCATCATAGATATTCTGTTGCATTCAAACAAAACTACCCAATGTGAAGTCTACTTAATTAACTGAATTTTCTTCTTATTCTCTTGACTAAGGCCAAATACATTACTCATTGACTGTAGCATGGTGACGACTTGTCTTCGGGAATGAGCCATCTCAGACTGATCAGCTAGCTAAACAGAACTTCCGTATCACTTGAACGCACGACACTACTAGGACTGAACTGCAAGGAATGCATTTATGGATCAGCCCTAATTGGTTCTGTTTTGCTAATGTTTGCCAGTGAAGGATTTGCCACTGAAAACACACAATGAGAACATCCCCAAGCCCTGGGTGGAAGACTCGAATTTGAATGTGGAGAGGTGTGCACACATTTGAGTCCCCACCCTTTCCAATATGAGATAATACTGTGCACAAAGTAATGGAAATACCCTCATTTGTAGGTATGGGGCAGTGGGGCAGCTGTTGTGCATACATTTATTTTATTTTATACGCATTTAAACAGGGGCCAATGTGTATGTGTGTGATAGATAGATACAGTAGATAGATGATAGATAGATAGATAGATAGATAGATAGATAGATAGATAGATAGATAGATAGATGATAGATAGATTCCATTCCACCCTTGGTGCAGATATGTGGAATTGTTACATACCACATGTCTGTTTACATTCCAGCACAGATTACTAGAGTCCCATGAGTGGAACATCCGCTCTGTATTGCTTTTGTTTCCTCTCTCTCCAAGAGAAACGACAAGGGGAGAGGCCATGTTTTTCTTTGTCCTGATTTATGTATAATAAATGCGTAGTTTAGTATAGTATCCACGCCTCAAGCCTGATCTGTTGTGTGTTTACTCTGTTGAGTAATGTGTGCTCTTGCATGCACAGCAGCATGAGTCGTGGACGCACGGAGGAGGATGACTGAAAATCTCTGCAGCGGCAAGGCTGAGAAGGGAGACACTCCGGCTGGGGCCAAGCCAGTTGGCTTTCCATCCCACGGTTCGATATGGACGAACCACTTTATACATCATCATGAAGCTGATCTGCACTGCTGGCAAAAGCATGGATTCATACCTGTAATCCAGAGATTGCAGTAGGGTAAGGGGATAGTGCAGTGGAGCCTAGGTTTCTTCCAAGCAAAGGTGTCATGGGTGTGCTACTTGTGGTGTGTGTGGCACGCCAGTAGGCCTCAAGATATTCTGCCAAGTGTTCACAAGCATCTTCAAGCTGATTTTCATCCAGAATGACATCAAACATTTCCTGTTCAGAAGAAAGCATGGCATCAAACTTTTCAGCTCTGAACAGCTAGACAATGGAGGGTGATAGCCAACATAGTGGGCCCATTGATTTCAATAGGTCCAACTCTATAGTATATGACTTAGTTGAATATCATCCAGAAGTCTTTGCAAACACTGTCAACTTTGACAGTTTTCATTTGTTCCTCTTGCCCGTTTCGGTCTCCTCCACCACTAAAAAGCATCTCCCACCTTTTAATAGCCTCAGAGTCCATCACAAACCAGAGTGGGAAAAGACTGTCTGGACACAAGTTTGCAAGTAAAAATTATTCATTTGTAAGAAAACGGGGGTGGGGGAGATGCCATTATTCAATTCAAATGTTTTGATTGCAAATGGATTGTTGCTAAACTGCACAACATAATGAGCAAGTGTATGGCACACAATTAATGCTTGCTTTTGACCTTAATTTATTTCAGCAGCAGGCATGGGTTTTCCCTTCCCTTCAGCTCACCAAGCACAAATCACTGGAAAATGATTCGGTGACAGAAATGCAATATGCTGGACCTCGTAATGTAAACCTGAGAGGGCTTTTATTCTAGTGGTGCCAATTTCTCCAGTACTGGGTGGAAAAGAAGTGGGTTGTCACTGTAACCCTAGATGCCTTAGCACATCACTAAGCATGATGAACAATGGGAGGAGGTGGAAAGATGAGTGCTTCTCTTCGTGAGACTTGTGACCTCTCTTCTAACACATTCAGGATCTGATCACCTGCTATTTATAGCCCGTTCAGTAAGGATGGGTACCGTTGTTAAAACAATGTTACATCAATACAACAGCTTTTGCTAATGTGTGAATTGATGTGTCATGAAAAATGTGCACCAAGTGAAAATCTTTCCCGGTCCTTTACTTACTGGAGGACATTGTGCAAGTTTATCTGCTGCAACCAACTGGACATTCAGGTGTTTGCTTTGTGACTTTCCTCTTGATTTGATCAGTCGCTGCAGGACCTGAAAGAAGAGAAAACAAGCATCAGACTACTTTCAGACTTCATAGCAAGGAGGTAAATTTTGGAGGCATATCAGCTTCCACTTGTTAAACTACGGGTTTGTGATGTTACTGTGTGAGTGGCTACTGTATATATCGTGGTACGGACAGCTGAGGTTGTGTACCTGTCAGCCATTATCTATAGGGAATCTGTGGTCCTCCAGGTGCTGCTGTTCGACTCCAGTTCCCATCAGTACCAGCCCGCATGGCCACTGGTCAGGGATGATGGGAGTTGCAGTCCAACAACATCTGGAGGGCGTTTTTGCTAGCAAACGAAAAGATACATTCTAATGTTAGTGGGGAACATTTCAAGTACATAGGGATAAAGTAATGCTTCCTCGTGGCAACAATTCCTTATAGGTTTAAAATGATTGTAAGTTACTTAACTATTTTGGATCAGCCCAATTGCATGGATACCCACCATGCTAGCAAACCCTAAGGACGGGCTACATTGGTAAGCAGCTTACAAACATAATTCCAGTGTAGAGTCAGAAGTATTTTTCATTAGCCTCCTGGTTGGGTACTATAATGTTTGAATGGGCCACAGCTCTTGTCCTAGAAAAGGCAAAATTAAGACAGGAAAAAAAAGTGGAGTAAAGACATATGGATCTGAAGAAAAGGAACTGAAATGGCTGACCCAACCATCATTAGCAGCAAAAATTCTGTTTCTCTGGCCTGATTAGGAGCGCATGTCTCCACAGTTATCTGGGAAGCCCACTTCACATAGTGACCGTCAAGGCTCTGCCAAGCACAAGCAGAATGCAAGGTAAACAGAGGCGTTTTTGTGGGACCGGAAGGGAGGTGAACATCCTATGATACTCAGTTGCTGCACACGATCAGCAAGTTTCTGGCGACACACAAAAGTTTAGGTCAAGATTCAACGAAGTTGTTGCATATGCAGAAACACAGAAATGGGACTTCACTCCCTACCCCTGAAACACCCTAAATGCACTTTGAAGAGGTGGGGGAACCCCCTGAATATGTTTATAGCGTGTGCGGGAGGCATGCAGGGAGAAAGGTGTGCAAACATCCTGTTGTGCAAGTGGACTTCATTCCCTGAACGCACACCCTACTTAGTGCTACATTAACTTCCTCAATGGTATGTTTTAAAGGAAATTAGCATAAAAAGGAGGAGCGTTCTTTTGGGAAGAATATGAAGTGTATTCAAGATGAAATATTTTAAAGACAAAGCTATAAATTTGTACACACACACACACACAAAATGTATGTTACCTTTGGAGATGACACTTTAACATGGACAATAATCGGCGCTAAGGACGTTTTAATAAGTTGTGCTGGGTGGTTGATTGTATCTGCATCTAGAACAACCAGCTGCAAGGATCGTGCCAACTCGAAAATACGCTCGATCTCACTCTGTACTTCCGCTGCAAAATGAAAAATGGAGATACCATCATCAACGCGTTCCAAAAACAGGTTGAAATAACTGAATTTGCCATTTCAAAACCTGTGGTCCCTTGTCATTTATTTATTTTTATTTTAAATGGGTTTCTACTGAATATTTTATTGTGTTACAAAACAAACAAACAAGGAAAAGCAGCTAGAAATGTAACTAGACCCTGGAAAAGCCCATCAGGAGCGAACATAGCCCACTGGTACCAAAATATATGGGAAACCGCCCTACTAGAAAAGTTAACCAACAAACTTAAACTGGCATGGGGCCAAGCAAAGGAGGATGCCTTCACCCCCCGTGTGGATCCCCTTTATAATATACACAGCCCAACAAGACAATGATCTATTCCCCCACAGCAGCATACAAATCAATAGGGCTTATCTGACCCCACAATCCCTGTCTCACACATACAATCAAACCACACTGCAACCAACCAAGCTCTGGACCCTCCAATCTCTCGCAATGCCATTTTTATTTATCAGTTCTAGTGCCGGTGTGCTTGAAGTTGGGAATACCTTTGACACGTTCTTCATAAAATTGCCATATATTTTATTATTATTTATTTTATTCATTAAGTTTCTATACCACACTTCATCCAAAGATCACAAGGCGGTTTACAATATAAAGGTTCATAAACTTTATAACGTTGTGAACAAACGCACCATAACATTTCACCTTTCTTGCAACTTCTCAAGCTGATGCTAAGCATACACTTACATAGCAAACACAAAACTTTGCTCGCTAGTTCTTGAGAGGTGACAATATGGTCTTAACCCCCTATACAGAGCTTTAGAAAACCTTTTTTCAAAAAGCAGTAGCCAGGCTGTGGCAGAGGCAAGCAAGTTTTGTGCATTCTCCCTCTGAAGGGCAAGAAAGTAAGTAGGACAACAACTGGACACCCGTAAAAACAAACAAACAAAAACCTCCATACACAGGTGTCACTATGTACGGTACTTCTACTAAGGTCTTACCTAAACTGGATCTGGTGTTTGACCGCTCAATTATTGCCCTCTTGCTTGGATTATTTAGAACAGACCTCTTAGCAAGAGAAATGTCAGCTGTCACTCTAGTTATTGATATCCTACAAAGAAAAACAGAGGAGAGTATAAAATAACTTCGGTCAAGGTTTCAGAATAAAAATTGTGGTGCATTGCCGTTTACATTGTAAGCTTTACGTTATGTACTAGAAAAACCAGGCATGCCAGCTGCTGCTTATCCACAAATTAAAGTGTTGGTGAGGCAGACAAGTCAAAATTCTAAAAGATGACTTCTATTACAGTAGATCTTTATGTACGGAAGACCATGCAAAACGACAACAACAATTTATTATTTATACCCTGCCCACAAAAACAAAACAAACAAACATACCCCAAGACTTAATAATAACAACAACAACAACCTGGGACACAGATGGACAAGATTTACAGAACACCAAAAAACATTATTGTTCACTCATTTCTATTCCACAATGCTTCTATTTTACCCTAAATACATCACTTGGATGCATATTCTATTAAAATAGTTGGGATTAAGCTACATCTTGAATGTCTAGACTTGGAGATGCCAGTCCGTAAATATCTCCGTTCCATCAGTTTAAACTGTGAGGATGCAATCAGATCAGCAGTTTTGAGTGCGATGTGTTATGGCTGTTCAGTCAAAGGCTTGTGACGCGGCCTCTGACCTGGCATTGTTGAACAATTCTTGGTGCCTCCTCCCCATCATGCAAAAGCATGTACCTCTCTAAGGAACTACAAGCCTTCCCTATGATTGGTATGGGCAGTAACTGCGTCTAGTATCTTCTGATCATTTCCCTTCCTCACCCCTTTCCTCCTTTAAAAAATCCCATTTGCCATTGTCACTGTGTGTCAGATTAAACCTTTTTCATAAAAAAAAAAAGAAAAATGCATCTCTGCTGCATCCCTACCTTTTTCTGACAAATCAAGTTTATGCTTCTTGTGTTGACTGAGCCACTAAATTTGTATTTTCTCCCCTACAGATGGGAACACGTGATAAGGGATTTGTCGCCATGTTCCAAGATGCAGATATTATTATTATTATTTGATTATTATTTCCCTTCACCATTCTTCAAACAAATGAATATTCAGATAAAGATATGAGGTGGTATTCAACTAAGTTTTACTCAAAGAAGACCCACTGAAATTAATTAGAATGACTGCATTAGATCCATTCATTTCAATGGGCAAAACTAAAGTTGAATCCCACCCACACAGCTTGAGGGCCCTCAGTATGAAAGAAATGCTACTCTGTAGAGTAGAAAGGAGAAATCAGACCCTCTTAGGATGATCTTTCATTTCTTCTTTTGTGCCAAACAGATATAGCTGATACTTGTTGGTAATGATGCTCCTCAGTATCTTCCACGTATGATACAAAAATATGCTCCACAAAGGGTTTATTCATAGCAACCCTTGACTTGCCATTGACAGTTGCCATGGTTTCCTATAGGAAAACAATGACGTCCAGTTACCATAGTCATATGCTGTACTGAAAGACATCTGACAGCAGCAGTGACAGAACACCTGCTCTGTGTTCCACACTTAATATAAATGCCTGTTTCCAAAGCCATGCAACAAGCTGCAGAGATATAAGATTATTTCAGAACTTCGGGAGAGGGGAGTGCGAGGGTGCCAACGAGAGCCAACACCTCAACCGTGAGAGAATTCAAAGAGATGACGCATTTAGCTGCAGAAATGTTTCATCTGACAAGTGCCTACATAACAATGATCACCTCTGAAGGGCAGGTTCATGCCACCTTAGCTGTGCAGAGAAAAACTGGAAAACTTGTATGCAAGAGTATTCCATATTTTTGTGTGTGTGTGTGTGCGCGCGTGCATGTGTGCAAGAATATTCTGCTATACAGTGGAACCTTGGTTCTCGAACTTAATCTGTTACGGAAGTCCATTCGACTCCTGACACTGTTCAGAAACCAAGGCAAGACTTCCAATTGGCTGTAGGAGCTTCCTGCACTCAAGCAGACGTTCGGCTTCCAAGATATGTTCGAAAACCGTAATACTGACTTCTGGGTTTGTGGCGTTCGGGAGCTGATTTGTTCGACAACTAAGCCATTCAAGAACCAAGGTATGACTGTACTTATACTTTTCTGATCTATGGCAGAGCAAGGAGGAGCAACAGCTTCTCTGGACATAAGCTTTTCTCAATAGTCCCTCAACTCCTGGTGTCACAAACACATTTGGGAGTCAGATTAGACTAAACTTCATCCCCATTCAGGGGTGCTTGCTCCCCTGTTCATCAGCGTAGGAGCAAGGATGCGCCAAGTAGTCCATCACCTTTCGTGCAAAGAGAACAGCCACCTGCAATGAACGAGCCTTTGGGTATACAACTGCATGCACAGAAGATTCTGCATGACCCAAAATCCTGCACTCTCAGTGTTCTAGGTTGAAAGGAACCTCCTTCATGCACAGTGCTCTGTCACTGCAGTCACTCATGCTCTTCACATGAAGACTAGTGGAGCTGGGCTAATTGGCAGGCCCCTGCTCCTATGTTGGGAAATATGGGAGCCAGAACAACCACACACAACTTTAGTTGCATCTGACATTTTGGCCCAAAGAAAGTAACTCAAGGAGTCTGTTGCACCAACAAAGAGATCCATGTAGCTAACATGGGAAGGGTGAAATCAGTTGACCCCTTGAACAAGAAATGCATGATTTCTAAAAAACAAACAACCAGAACAGGACCCACCAATGGTAAGAAGGAAGCTTGAGGATGTGTCACCAGCTTCAGACTTTGTTTAAGTCCATTCATAAGCCACCCATCAGTAAAAGGGCGGCACTCAGTTTAAAACAGATACAATAAAACCACAAGAGCAAAGACAAAAATGACTGCCCCTAAAGAACTTACAATGATGCATTTCTATTGTTAAAAGTCTAAAAGGAAGCTTTCAAGTTCAATTAAAGATCCGCAATAAAATAGCAAAGGAGTTAACAATAGGAATTTATGAATCAAAAGTAGTTTTGTGCCTGGAAACAAACTGGGATCCGATAAAGATTTGAAAATATAAGATTATTTATAAGTAGGGGTGGGCAAATCTGCAAACTTCAGCTTCTCAATTTTTGAGAAGTTCTGAATCACAGAATCGTGGAGTTGGAAGGGCCCCTATGGATATTCATACACATTTTGATCCACATTTCCCCCAAAATATGCATTTTTGCAAGTAATTTTTTCTAATACAATACATTTTTGTATGTTCTTTTCATCAATATACATTTTGCATGTGTACTTTTTGAATTGTTTTTAATATTTGTTTTTAACAGGGTTTTTGGATAATTTTCTTGTTTTATTCTTTTCATAAAGTACTAGGGGGTTTGATTACAATCAAATGATATCTTGTGAAATAAATAAAAAAATCATTTTTATACGTTTTATTTGGTTGCAGAATTGCATCACAAAATTTAGATAATGGTGAATGTCAAGGAAATGCTGTGTTACAGTTCATGTACTGGTTCTGGAAGCTTTGGCAAATGGACTGAATGAATTTCTCCCCCATACCTACTTTTAAGACCAGTTAAGATTCCGACTCCCATGTTTTGAACCAGCTGACGTTTCCAGGCACCTTTTTTCAGAGCAGCCTCACGTATAATGCACGACATTTATCAAGTCTACCTAGATGCTACCACGGCGTGGGACAACTGTAACCAGATCACCTCATTCCTGTAAGGGGACACAGCTGGTGTGTCAAGCAAAGTTGGTAAAAGCCAGTCTGGATTCAGCTTTGCTCAGACCTTAAACCTGATTGGTCTCGTCAGAGGGGGATCTGAGCAATTTTGCCAACTTTGGTTGCCACATCAGGGCACAACCCTCCAATAGTCATACACTACCAGTGACCCTGAAGAGCTAATGGATTCAGAACTACCCCAGGATATAGCTGCCCACAACAGCGGGGATTCGAACCGCCGACCTTCTGATCGGCAAATCCTAGGCTCTGTGGTTTAACCCACAGCGCCACCCGCGTCCCATAAATGACCATTATGGAACAGCAATTTAAAAAACCATGTTTCTCCACCTACAGCCAAAGACAGTGTCCTTCAGCTACACAAGAGATTTGTGTTCCAAAAAGTGAGAAGTGGCAGGGTTCCAAAATTGTGCCAGGCTCAGAAAAAGGTTGGCAGGATCTCCATTTTATGAAGATAACCAGCACATCTTGTTTACATTTCTAGTCCAGCTTTCCCGTTCAAGCTGTTTCGTGAAGCCACAGACCACAACAATATTCCAGTTGTGTGTGTATACCTCCCCATACACACACAAAGGACACAGCACGACCCTCACCAGTATCAATATTTGACCCAAAGGCTTGGAAATATCCCAAGGCCTAATGCTCTGCTATTGAAATAAATGATTTTCAATGATAATCCAGAAACAGCAGCATTGTTTTTCAAAGGGGGGGGGGAGTCTGAGCTTCCTGAAATGCAAGAATTCACAGTATGAAGCTACTACTGATGGTTATGAAGGGCTTTGATACTCGCACAGCTGGGCGCATGTTGTGCGTGTGGTGTTAACATTTTGCATTAGGAACATTTTGCATTAGGAAACATATTCAGAGTAAGAACTGTTGGACTTGGGTATTCCCTCAGGAACTCAGTTCAAAATCTTTCCAGCTTGTCATGGAATATATCATTCCTCCTTCACATGTTTAGGGACAGAATGACAGGGTAAAAATATGTGGATAAATTCTGTTTTGAAAAAAGTGTTTCATAAGGCCCTGTCAGATCTTGGCAACCTAGTGGGTTGGCTGCTGGTCCAACTGCATCAGAGGAAGGTGTACAAACAAAACTAGCCTGACATACGTGAGAGAGGATTGTGGAACAACTGACGCTACTTTTTAGGGGTTTTCAGAACTTCATTCAAAGATAGGGAGCACAAGTTTAGCTAGTGTCCTCCTCACACACAAAATATTAATTACCTCAGCTGGGAAGATGAGGAGAAAGATGAAAGAGGAAAGATGAAATCCCAAGGGTGAACAAAATAAATAAATAATCAGCCCAGTGCATTTCAAATTTGGGTCATAAAACACACTACAGAACACAGTGTTGTGCTTCTTAACTGGAA